CTTTTCATTTACTTCAAAGTGTCTCATAGGAGGCGAACTTATTTGTTCTAAGTTGTAACTGTTACGAAGAAAGATATGTAAAAACTGGCATGCTAAACAAATAGTCACTTTGCACCATGATCAGCTCTCCAATGGTTTGAAAACGCTGTTACTTGCACGATAGAGGAGTGATTAGGGTATTCATATTGCTCCGATGCGTATATCTTAGGCCAAAAGGTGCGCATATTTTATCGAGCTGCTACGCTAGGAGACACTTGTTCAGTCCTTACCCTCAGACAGTTTGGAGGATCCAAATTAGGAGGGACAGCAATATGCCTTTTCATTTACTTCAAAGTGTCTCATAGGAGGCGAAGGATAATAAACTAAGACTCAAGATATTGGATCTTCCATGTGTACAAAACTTGGTGCGGCTGCACGTGAAGTTTTTTATGTTCCATATGACGGCGGTAAAGACACTGAAAGTCGCGTGGGCAGAAATACGAAATTTACATATTCGCTGTAATTTGCAAAGAACAGATACTGTGAGTCTGCGAAAACAATTCCGTGGAATGACCCGCGTGGGAGGAAGGCTTGCGGTAGAAAAAAAAAAGTTACGGCGCAGCGATAGTAAGAAAACTCAAGTGGCGTGTGTGCCAAACGAAAAGCTTCGAAGTTAATTAAATAATTGCCCAGATGTGGGACTCGAACTTGGAACATTAGACTTATATAATAAAAAATTATATTTATTTAATATATTATATTTAAATCAGGCTACGATGAAGCCAGGGTCTTCGTGGAGGATTGTGTGTTCTGATTCATACGATCGCTATGAAGCGAATTATCACTCGCACAGGGCACGTCATCCCGTTTCACTGCGTGCACACATGTCCTTAGTATGGCTAGAGTATGCAAGTATGACATTTGTCTTTTGACCGTCTTCGTGCTCACCGGCACAAAAAACGGCCATGAATGCGAAGGCAGCTTTATTAATCTTGATTTTCGACATTACACAGCTGGCGCTCTTTGGCCATCAATGGCCCTTGCACCATTAAACAACATATATCATCATCATCATCTACATTACACAGAATGTGAGACCTGATACATTCTTAATAAGCTGTCACGCTCAACGTACTACGGTCTTGAAAGGATGTCTTAACACACTTACGCTGCAATTACGATTACCATAAGATGGACAGGGCGTATTGTCACCGCTTCAGCCACGATCGTCCACTGCCCTCGCACTCTTTCACTTGCACATGAAACAATTGACGCTACCACCATTGTACCTTATACTGAACCTCACGGCGGCGCCGATGACGAAAAGGCTCCTGGAGATTGCTATCGCAAAATTGTATATTTCGCTGCTTGGGGCACGTTTTTCTCGATTGATTGATTTGTGGGGTTTAACGTCCCAAAACCACCATATGATTATGAGAGACGCCGTAGTGGAGGGCTCCGGAAATTTCGACCACCTGGGGTTCTTTAACGTGCACCCAAATCTGAGTACACGGGCCTACAACATTTCCGCCTCCATCGGAAATGCAGCCGCCCCAGCCGGGATTTTATCCCGCGACCTGCGGGTCAGCAGCCGAGTACCTTAGCCACTAGACCACCGTGGCGGGGCGTCCACGTTTTTCTCGCGAAGGGAATGAAAAGGGGAAATTTGCCATTTCTGAAAGTTAAACTAAATTAAACATTAATGAGTGAATACTATTCACAAGGAACTGACTTGGTGGGTTAGCGCAAAGTCGGTTATGTGGACAGTGTCTCTCGTAAACAGCTCTGTCATGTTTTCTAAATGTACTGTGCAGTTTTTTTTTTATATTTAGGCGAAAAAATCCTGCCGAATATTACGAAGAGCCAGCCAATTACCAACAGCTATGCATTTCCAAAGCCTAAAACCAATACAAAAAATTTGCGACCTATTTCTCAACCATGCTGCTGTGGTGCTCGTTAACGTCTCATCCTAACGCTGTCACTCTCTTTGTTTTCATATTTAAATCAAAGTGAAATCAAACCTCCAAAAATTTTTCCACTCAGTGTTACCATTTGAAAGTTACCGTTTGAAAAATAATTACTGCGTGTTGTTAAAACGTATTGCCATCTTGGTTGCTCACACAAGGAGCTGGCTTTGGTGTTTGCGTATAGATTTGTATTTACGGATTCTCCTAAGTTTTGATCGGTGATATAGATACCCTGTACTGCCTTTGGACCGTGTAACATCCCTGTGTATGTTATTATAATACCTATATGTGACCTCAATACGTGCAATCAAATGACGCAGAAACTATCCTCCTTTGTTGCCCTAGAGTATCGAATGGCTATGACATCGCCCAGCTGAGCTCGACTACCATGGTTTTGATCCCGGCCGCGGTGGTGGCATTTCGCTGAGGGTGAAATATGAAAACGCACGTTTGCTTGGATTTAGCTGAAATTTAAGGAAATCTTGGTAGTGAAGCTTAATCCAGGGTTGCTTACTGCGGTTTGTCACGTATTCAGGTCGTGGTATGTCACGTGAAACCACCAAATCTAAGTGTGAAGACACCGAACCACTTCGTGAGGGGTGATCCAGTTCGGAATTTCTTTATGACGAAAGGATCACTCAATCGCTTTTCGAGACATAGCGTTAGCGTTACTTGCGGCTTGGTGTTTTTTTTTATTTAAACATCTGGAGTATACCTAAATGTGCAGTATATCTGAATCCTCATCATCTAAGATGTAAATTCTGAAAGTTCAGAATGCAGAAGCAACAAAAATGAGAATTTCATTTTCAAACATCAACACAAAATACAGTTTCAGGGCCTTCTGCAGAATCATTAACACATTTACAAAGATAGATGCAGATGTTTACCCATTGCGCGCCTAATTATAACATGCAGCCCCGCCGCGGTGGTCTAGTGGCTAAGGTACTCGGATGCTGACCTGCAGGTTGCGGGATCGAATCCCGGTGGCCGGGGCTGCATTTTCTATGGAGGCGAAAATGCTGTAGGGCCGTGTGCTCAGACTTGGGTGCACGTTAAAGAACCCCAGGTGGTCGAAATTTCCGGAGTCCTCCGCTACGGCGTCTCTCAGAATCATATGGTGGTTTTGGGATGTTAAACCTTACATATCAATCAAATCACTAATTATAACATGCATTGCGCGCCTAAATATTATTGGTGCTCGGATAGTTCAGCAGAAAATAGAGCGAAAATCAGGGCGATGAATCAAGAAGAAGCAAACAGTCTTGCTTAAGAAGAGATTGACAAAATTCAATTAAGTGATTAGCCCCAGTCAGTGTTTTAACCGATCGATCATTTAATTAGTATAGTGATCGCTCTACCTGAGAAGCAACAAAAGCTTTTTCTTTCATTTTCACTATGCAGCTTCATTTTATTGATTGCTGCTTTTTGTTGCCCGTTATTGGGAGCTAATCATGCCGGCAACGAAAACACCATAAAGAGAAATTAACTGTGAAGACAGGAGAGTATGGAAATCAGCCATGTTTGATTTGAGCTCACTGCGCTACCTTAAATGCAAAGTGACAAAATGATGAAGGAAGTAAAAATAATTGAAGCACACTCAGGCTAGGATACGTACGGGCAGATTTATATTGCAAGACGCATAAATACAGGTAAATGCTGGAGGAGTTTCCAAGCCTTCTGTTGAAAATTAATGATAAATAAATTGCCGCCCATTTTGAAAGAGCAGTGAACGGTGGTGGGTTTTAAGGCATATCGTGTTTACTCATATGCTACGAGCACTTTACCTACCGAATATACTCCCATAATACCAGCAGTGGTTAGCGCTGATCATTGTCGGCTAGTGTTAATTAATTAAATAGTAACGCTGGTTATTGGCGGCTAAATAATGGCTAGTGCTGTATAATGTTGTTAATGTGAAGACTGGTGGTTAACGTATGCTAGTGTTGCTTGCCATGTGTCGGTCAAGTGATGTAATTGCAAATATTGCTCACACAACATTTCACATTCACCAGGTGTGAAATTTCTTTCAAATTTTTCTTTGCTCGTACTACTGCACTTACCAAAGTGTTGCATATGTGTCGTGGTGGAGGCAGCGCAAATTAATGTTTTCGGATAAATTACAAAATCGTAATAGCACTGCAGCAACGTTTCATATGGCAAAAGTTTCCTGCATTCAAAACTGAATAAAAAAAATGCTAAGCCGGCGTTTTATTACGCAGCTGCACGTAGTCTAATATGCCGGCGCTGAGAAGAAGCGGGTGAAAAAAAATCGAGTTTACGAGCAGTGTAGCTTGTAAATTATTCGGGCAATTGGATCAGTGTTGTAGTACCCTGTTTGGTGGAGCCACACCTGTGTGCAAGCATGGCCCCTAGCATTTGAACTTCTCACGTGCCATTTGTAGAGCAACTTATCGGGCGTGCACCGAAAACTTAATGGCACCCTTTAATCTGGTACGTAACGGTTGCAAGAATTCACGTTAATTGGGTACATGTTAAAGAACCCCAGGTGGTCTAAATTTCCGGAGCCCTCTACTGTGGCGTCTCTCATAATCATATGGTGGTTTTCGAACGTTAAACCACACATATCCATCTATCTAAGAACTAACGTTGCTTCACGCACTATAATGTTCGCTTTTTTTTCTACGTGAGAGTGCCATTCTGTCTGCTGGCCGCGTATTCTGGAGTTGTACGGATTATCCAATCTTCTCGACGACCTTTTATTTTTCATTTCTACATCGCCTGATGTGTTACCATTGACATCCTGCAGATAAAAAAAGAAGTCGTGGAAATCTAGTGAGTAATCTTCGTAAGTGTCAAGGGAACGCGTTTTTTTTTTTTTTACCGCTATTGCTTAAGCCAATCTAGACCACGGAATAGCCATCGTGCGAGCGCTTGCATGCAGGGCACGCAGTTTTTGCAAACGCTTTCATGTATTACCCTTTAACAACGCATTAACAGCTTAGCACATTTAAACGCAACACCAAAAGCTTGGCCGTAAAAGCGGTCATTGTTCAGGGTCATTGATTTCACCTATACGCTCTTGACTCTTCACAGCTCAGACTCCGAAAACACGACGGCCTCGGAGTTCGTCTCGGAGAGGATACAGACTCTGGTGCGAGCATTTTCTCATCGATCGCAACGAGTGAAGGAGCGCATCGCGGAGCCTCCGACACCCAGCCCAAGTGAGCTTTCCACGCACTGTTGTTTTTATTGGTACTGTGCGCGAACGGTGGCGAACAGTAAATAGACGTGGCTCAATCATTGAGTGCCATAATTGAAGGGTGCAACCTCCCTGGCGAACACTGCGTACTATAATATTTCAGTGAGTGTAGTGTAAACCCGTCGTAGTTTACCGGCAGAGAACTATAAGTGATGCGCACTTTTGGAATCGCATTTTCTGTTTTCTTTCTTCAGTGACCATATATCGTATACACGCGTCTTTTTTTTCTACTAGTTCTTTTTTTTTTCAAAATACTTTGGCCCGCTACCCTTGTTTCCTTATGCGTATTTAAAAATGTACGATTTGGAAGACTTGATGAGGCCAAGCTGCTGTTTGCAGCATAAAATAAGATACATATTGTGACAACCTATATTACCTTTTGTAACACGCAGGATAGCACAGTTTTTTTTAACACTCCTTCATGAAATATCGCGTGAAAATTCATCGCGTATCACACGCGGGAAATTTTATTTTTAGCGAGTCGCGCAGCTTCGACCTTGTAACAATTCTTCCGTGGAGAGCTGCAGATAGAGTAACCAATTTTGATGCCTTCGGCTTATCGTGTCACCTCGCCCGTGGTGGCACATCGTAGGCATTCGATTGCGATACAGCGTCTCTATAAGCCAAAACGTTATCTGTGCCATTCTAACTAATGATGTACCATCTATATAGCATGTGCGCTCCTGTACCACGCTGCCTTAGGTTGAGATATGTGCCAGCGCCATTCGCTTAGTCACAACTCGCAAGTGCGCTTGATCCTGTAGCCGCCTAAAGAAATGCTAACCTTTGCCGCGCAGCCCCGCCGCCGGAGAAACGGGAGGACTACGAGAGCCGGCTGCGGTTGGATTCGTTCGCACTCGCTGAAGACGTGCCGGGCGATAGTCAGGCCGATTCGGAACGCATCATCAAGATAGGCTGCTGCTCCTTCCCCAGGAGGGCCTTTACTTTTCCGAGAACCATCGACCCTCAAAGTGAGTACGCTAAATACGCTTCTGACCCAATCTTGGGACGCTATCTTGAATTCGTGAAACTTGTTTGCGATGAAAACTATGCGTTCGTAACATTCGCAACAAAGATTTCTTGCATTTTTGTAGAGCTTTTCTGCAAAAACAAGTGTCCGACTCGAGCAGTATATAGCAGCCTTTTGTAAACTTTTTCGTTGATTCGCCATCGTGGCTCTTTGAAGCTGCGCGAGAGAAGCGAAAGTTTTAATTACCTGGTTGGTTGAGTACTCGCCTCTCACAGAACAACAGTGGACGTTGTGGAGTACGGGACGCTGTATGTATGTGAATCTACGGAAACTTTGTCAATCTTTGCGCTCGTCCACTCACGAAGAGTCATTTCTCGGGGCTATAATGCTTGTTTTTGCATGATTTTCTACGTAACCTTCAGCTGCATTCGTTTTCGCCAGTACGAGAAATCCAACGTCGATAAAGAATACGTAATGTGACAGTTCTTAATGAGCAACGTATTCCATCACACCCGCGCTTAAAGGCACGCGTTTCGTCAAAGCTAGTGGTGGCCAAAGAAAACCGTGAACCTCGCGTTGCAGGCAAGCTGTACGTGTCATGGCAACTGGCAGTGAGCGTGTGCTTCCTGTACAACTGCTGGGCCATCTTCTTGCGCGCCGTGTTCCTGGAAGGATCGCACGTCGACGAGGCTGGCTTCTTTGCCTGCGACTACCTTTCCGACCTGGTGTACCTGTTCGACATATTACTATTCAAGTCGCGCATCAAGTTCCACTCTGCCGGCATGTGGGTGGTAAGCCCAGTAATGAGTCTCGCTGCCTCACCTGAATTGCTTGCCTTTCTACTGATGTCCGCAACGTCGCGCCCAAATTCAGTCCTTATACGGCAAGAGGTTGGGAGGCCGGCAACATTCTTGAATTCGAGTTAAAAGCGGGAAGGGTTTCGGTGGTTTGAAAATTTCTCGACGTCACCGTGACTCGCAAAGAAAAAAAGGAAAAGAAAGGAGCTAACGCCCATCCACACTACATGTGGTGAACCAATACCTCATAGGAGTGAGTTATTATTATTATTATTATTATTATTATTATTATTATTATTATTATTATTATTATTATTATTATTATTATTATTATTTTGTGTGCGAGTGTTTTTCTATTCATGCAGGCCCGTGTTTTCCCCCACGAGTGAAATCGAGCACTTATCTATTTATATTTATCTTCTTTTTTCTGAGCCGTGGTTTGTACGTGTGTGTCACCTCATCGTGAGCAAAAAAAAAACTTTGGGAAATCAATTTAGTCAAAATCCTCAACACAGAGCCAGTGTCACAATTTTCGCTAAGTGAAGCTTTATTTGTCAATATTCGCTGCTGTTTTGTCAAATAGCGCATGCGCCTAAGAGAATATGTACACAGGTGCGGTCTAAAGAACGCAAGCAGACAATGAAACGGGTAACGAAAGTTAACCCTACCGCATGGTGCGTATTCACAGCTTCTCTTTCAACGGCGAAGCTTTCTTTCATAGCGGCGCGTGTGAGTTTTTTTTTTTTTTCCTGTTTTCGAGACGGCAATTTCATCCTTTGGGGAAAACCAACGAAGTAAATGTTTTGTATATCGATAAGTATTTTGCATGCGACAATCACACCTCTCACAGATATTCACTTTATGCGCCTGTTGTTCTTTCTTGCAGGAAGATCCCAAACAGACCCGACGAAACTACTTCCGCAAACCTATATTTAAGGTAAAGGCGTAAATTTTAGTTCTTTATAATATGTGATCTCCCCTAAGACTTTTGTATCTCCTTGGCCGGCAGTGAAATGTTTACCGTTGAGCTGAATGTACAAGCAATGTGACTCATCATTTCCACTTGTGGTGTGCATGCTTTCTTTCTTCAATGCTGCATGTCCATATGTGATGCACTCTCTGTGCACTTTGAATTAACCATATATTTTTTCATGACTTCGTGTTTCATTGTTACTTAATAACTTGGTTTCAACATACAATGTGGAAACAGTCTTTTTTCATTAAAAAAAAAGCGGCGCACAAAAAGACAGAGACAAAGAAGAGAACCACACACAGCACTGCACAGCGCTTTTTGTGCGCCGCTTTTCTTTTAATATGAATATACACCAACTCGCCCAACTTTCTATTCTTTTTTCATTACTTCATTTAAAGGGGCCCTTAAACACTTCTTTAGTAACCATGGAATTAATTCACTCTAAAAGCGTACTGCTTCACAAGTTGAACGCCGCAAAAATTTTAGGAATCCGTCTTGTACGAGCGGAGTTGCAACGATGTGTCACACGCTGCAATCGATTTCTCTCTTCTCTAGTTCCGACAAAAGCGCTGGAAGCTAAGTAGGGAGGGATGGGAGGAGAAAAAAAAAACAACGTCATGCGCGTCGTGACCTTGAGCACTTGTTTTTATTTTTTTTTCTTCGTATACACGGCCTTTTCAGTGCGATCGCACGCGCGCGCGTGGACAAGTGACGGCTTTTCACGGCAATCTCTGTAGCAACCAAGCGCGCCATGTTCAAATCAGCCAATGGCTGACAGATTGGCAATCTGCGTGTGATTTTTGAGCGTCTGCCGTCGTTTGTCGAGGGGAGAGAAAGCAATTTTTAGCTGACTTTGATAATGTATTGTGAATTCCAGGCCTTGTGCAGCGCTATAACAGTTGGCTCGCAAGTTTTTGGGCGCTACTACAGATCGGCAGCGTTTTCTGACCATACTCGAAAAGTGTTGCAGGGCCCCTTTAAATAGTTTTTTTTAGCCGTCCTCTGTCGATCGACAATACTACGGCATTCAACCTAGTAGTAATGAGAAAAGAAATGGTTTCTTTCATGGGTTCGTTTTGCGTTTATATTATTCACGCATATTGTCACTTTTGTGCTGTGTGTCTAACTCGCTAATTAGTGGCATAGCAAACCAATCATTCAATATTAAATGCAAAACATTTTTTGCGTACTGCAAGCACTTTTTACATCTATCTATCTATCTATCTATCTATCTATCTATCTATCTATCTATCTATCTATCTATCTATCTATCTATCTATCTATCTATCTATCTATCTATCTATCTATCTATCTATCTATCTATCTATCTATCTAGCTAGCTAGCTAGCTAGCTAGCTAGCTAGCCGCCAGCGTTTGGGTGCTCTCATGATCACCTCCTTAACTTGGGGTACAAGAAAATTAGTATGGGGAGGGGGGGGGGGGGGTGAGATGGTTTGTCGAAAACAACTCACTGGTCATGACATGAATAATGTCACAATCCCATCGCGTATGTTGTCAAACACTTTCCGCCAGATAGTAGCACATACGCGTGAGCAGGTATGTGCCACTGGTATGCGGGTATGTGCCACAGGTGATTGGCGCTTCATTTCTACCCAGGAAAGGTGAGAACACACATAGGTAATTTTAACGCTTGGGCGTAAAGGAAAACCTGCCATAGGCAGCGTTGACTGGATGAATGCAAACAATAAATGTCAGTGTCCCAGCAGAAATCGAACCCTAGCATTGTGCGTGACAATGAAGTATTCTACCACAGAGGCACGCCCCGTCTCGGAAATGCTTTGTAAATATACCCGAATGTTAGTGTAACGTCAGTTGTGGTTGCAGTACTGACTATTCGATTTTATAAGCATTACTTATGTACTCCTACGGTAGAGCCGTTAAGTCGGGTTAACGTAAATTGTAGTTAGGCACAATCCGCTGAAGTTGATTTGTGTAGCAGTGTCGAGGGCTACCACCTTCGCGCGCACCAGCGCAAACACTGCAGCGCTTCATATAAGCTTACCACTTCTCAGAAACGGTAAGCTTGTATGAATAGATATTATATTATATTATTAGATAATATAGATATTAGCAACACCGGGGGCTGCTAATATCTATGTTGTTGTTTTCATCGTTACGCAACTGTAAACAACTTCTAATATATATCATACGTGGCTTTTAACGTGTGTGTGTCCAAAGATTTGTACATACATTTAGCGCCACCTCATAACATGTCGCTCAATAATAAAAAAAGAAACATTCACCTTCTCTCCGCATGCTTCGCATAATGCCGATTACCAAGGTACGTGGGATATGCCGAATATTTCGCACAGTTATCAAAGCACCTATTAGAGTTTGCGCATATGTAATACAAAAGTGAAAGAAAGCGGTGAATCTTGTGGACTAACTTTTGTGTAGCCCCCCCCCCCTTTTTTTTTCGATCATTCGCCAAACAAGTTGGAACCGCCAGTATATTCTGTCGACGCAACTTCTTGCAGATGGACGTAGCTGCCCTGCTACCCTTAGACATCCTTTACTACCTTTACGGTGTCAACCCGCTGCTCAGGTTGCCTCGTATGCTCAAGGCGAGTACCCGTGAGCATTACATAGGCGCTAAAAACGCCGCTCACCTGTAGTGTGGCGATTTTGCAAAGTCTGATTGTACCAAGATGTCACTTTTTTTTTCACGCAGATACAGACATTCTGGGAATTTTTCGACCGCATCGACGCTCTCGCCAAGTCGCCTTATGTCATTAGGCAAGTTTTCAATTTATTCACAAAAGTATACTCACAATAACGCGATGTGCCGGCATTGTTTCAGACGTGTCACTTTTGTTCTCAATCCTGGTGGTGTGAAACTGCTTAGTAATTTTTAGTCAGCAATAACAGAAAATGCTAAGTTATATAGTATTAAATTTCACACTTTAAGTTTGGATTGTCTACTTGTTTTAAATATTTTTGGCCGGAAAAAGTTTCGGAACAAATTGAGTGACTTTAGGTCTTGCCACATGCACAAACTTTCAATGTTGTCATGTGCGATTATTGCATAGATATTTGAGTGAGGGAGCAATATCTAAAAAATAATTTGTTACGTTTATCTTAATATCGGCCAACTCCGCAGTACCGTCGATATTTTTCTCATGCACAACCGCTGAAATAGGGTTAGCAAGATCTTAACCAAAAAAAAGAGCTGTTTTAATGACAAAAGTTTTTCATTGAGTAACAGGCTTTCTGAAATCATTTCAGGGTGTTGCGAACTCTTCTTTACATGATGTACCTGATCCACCTCAACACATGCGCCTACTATGCCATCTCCAAATATGAAGGCATCGGCTCCAATCAATTCGTTTTTCAAGGCGGAAACAAGACCGCGTGAGTGAACTTTATGCACCTTGCCTTAGTGCAAGGTAATGTAAAATATTCATAAAATTCATATTGTTTACATTCTTTCTTTACTTGTCACTTATCATCCGTCGAGCCTATATATAGTGGCCGAGCCCGGCGATAATGTGGTGAGATGATGATGAAAAACGACAAGGACAGAAAATGAAATGAACTGTTACAAAATACGACCCCCGATGTGTAACGCCGGCTATATTCTGAATGTTTGGTGGCTGTTTCAGCATTATTTGCGCCGGTGGCGCGACCAGCAATGTTTATGAGTGGTTTATGAGCATGAAACAGGCGCCATAATCACGAAACGCTAACATCGGTTAAATTGATTGATTGATTGATTGACTTATTGATTGATTGATTGATTGATTGATTGATTGATTGATTGATTGATTGATTGATTGATTGATTGATTGATTGATTGATTGATTGATTGATTGATTGATTGATTGATTGATTGATTGATTGATTGATTAGGTCACGTATAGCTGGTCTAGTGGCTAAGGCACTCAGCTGCTGTCCCACAGGTCGCGGACTCGAATCCCGGCTGCGGTGGCTGCATTTTCGATGGAGGCGGATATGTTCTAGGCCCGTGTGCTCAGATTTGTGTGCACGTTAAAGAATCCCAGGTGGTCGAAATTTCCGGAGCCCTCCACTACGGCGTCTCTTATAATCATATGGTGGTTTTCGGACGTTAAACCCTACATATCAATCAATCCTTTCATTCACCTGGAAAACGGAAGTGTCCTGAAAGAAAGACAAGCGTATCGGCTTACCATGCTTTTTAGATTAGTGGTAAACAAACTTCTTAATCAATAAATGTTTATAAAGTCTGCGTGCGCATGGTAATTGTTGTGAAAATGTGTGAAACTGTTCGGCATACACAAATCTTAACAGTTCATTCAGGAGCATAGGCTCTGACATTCGTCCGGATGCAAAGCAAACTAAACAAATTAGTGAGAGAAATAAAAACATGAAGCAATTTATTCAAAATGCAAAAAAATGTAGAGTGATTCAGCTATACGCAACTGAAAAGCTTTGTGGGGAAAAATATTTATATGAGAATTTCCAAACATCTGCTCACATAATCTTTGTCAATAAAGTTTGACCAAGCAATTGCATATGTAGTGATCAAACTTTTTTCTTCAAAAGCAAACACTTCAATAGGTTTAAAATAAGCCCACGTGGGTTATGTTCTTGAGGTCTTAAAAGTTGTTAAACCATATCCAGGGTTTGCGAAAAAGCAGACGGGTATATGATAGTATATGAGAAAGCATATGGCGACGGAACGCTCCCTGTTCAGTTTCTTCAGGTGAATTATTTCTTCCTTGCTGCCTCCATGTACCCAATTTTGGTCCTTGTGCATGTATACATGCGGTGCAGCAATTTCGTTTTTCTCAGTAGAGCAGGCTGTAATTAGGATCATCAAAGATAAAAAAAAGAGTGTTATATACTAAATTCAGCCATTTCCTAGACATTCCGCATTCGTCCAAGTCTATTTTTCGCACGCCATTTGACACTAGAGCACAAATCAGTGCGTCTTTAATGGTATTTGAATATGGTTGATGCTTATCCACACATTTAAGCATTGTTCTCTGACTGCGCTCGCGATAACATGACGAGAACAAGGTGGTCGAGGAGAGCGCGAGGGGCCACACCACCGGGAGAACGCAGAGCCGCCTTTTCATTCGCGTGTGCCTGAGTGAGGCTTGGATAAGCGTTGGAACGGACTACGCTTTTAGCGCAAACACTACACCGCCAATCACCACATCAGCCAGAACATGGTACGTAACATTCCTTACCTAACAACGTTGCGAAAAGATGCTAAGCTGACACGTGCAGGCAAAGCAAGTAATATGTGTGGCATGATAAGTTTCTCGATTGCAATTGAGCACTAATTTTAACAAAATAACGTCGTAAAATATACATAATAATGACTAGATTACCCAAATCTTGTATACGGGAGGCAACATTTGTCTGGGCACACAAAAGGAAAAACGCACAATGGCTGCAAAACAAAAATTTGCTTACCGAAATCAGCAGTTCTGTTGTGGGCGCTGGGAATATATGGTCATAGTAGTCGCATCGCATGCAATCCTCGGCATCGTCGACAGAAACACCGCCATGAATTGCTTGCAGTCACATTGGAGTTAATTGCACCCGCCACGTAACACGCCACAATTGTATTTCTGCTAGACGGGCATTTTAAAATCATGCCGAGCACGCCTCAACACGTGTGCAATGAGCGGGTCATGTTCAGGTAGCGGCTGGCTTGAGACTGTGGTGTAACATATTTGCCGTATATGGGCTTCCTGAGAGACTTGTGGTGTAATGAGAGGGCACTGAGCGCAAGACAAGTGCTTTAATCACGAAGCGTGAACAGCCTCTGTAGCAGTTATTTCGATGAAACTCCATATTGTGCAATTTCATTCTGATTTCAGAAGGCAAAATTAGTCAATTGCTTATATTAACCCCCATAAGCTGAATTTCAATCATAAGAGCGTTCTTTTTAGCGCTTTATCGGAATAGTTTTTTGCAGCTCTCGCTGTTGGACGCTAACGTGTGCTTCTCTTCAGCGTGCATATATATATATATATATATATATATATATATATATATATATATATATATAATGTGCCTTGCCTACTTCTCCACTTTGTTGTTTAGTTCATATCTCTAGCCTCTTTCTCCAGTGGTTTTTCTGATGGAAAATATATCTGGTCCAACATAGGAGCTCGAGTACTCTATAAAAAAGTTGGCCACTTGGAGCTTTTGATCGCCTATCATAACTCACACACAACTATTCTTGCATTTCGCCGCCATGCGTGGAGCAGATAACTGGCGATCTATGAAAACAATAAAATTGGCAGCGCAAAAGAAAAGGGAACGCAGTAGAGGATGGTATGATTAGATCTTGTGAAGACATTTGAGTTTCAGTCGTGAGATGAAAACCAGCTGACGCAAGACCTTTAAGGAAAAGGCATTTCTCTAGCAGTTAACCATTCAATAAAATGGGAATGGTTATGCTTGTTATTGCGCGCGGGGGGGGGGGGGGGGTTAACGAATGATCGTATGTAATGCCTAAATACACATAACGTCGAAGTCGAAAGACTAAAAAGACATTACTACTACTTAGCTGTAAATCAGGGAAACAATAGTATATTACGAATAACACCAGCCCCTATTGTAAAAAACGAAAACATGCACTTTATCAAATAGTTATGCCACGGCATGTTAAATAAGCAGCGACTAGTTACTGCACGTATGGATACTTTATAAACAAAGAATTTCAAACTCTACATCACGTTGAATCCCTTCGGATTAGATTTGTGCTGTCATTGTTCGTACCGGTAGTGAATCTCATGACGAAGTCAAGTGGAAAGTTTGTGATGTGCATAGCCGCCGTGAGTGGCAATTTTCCGACCCTGTGCGTGTTCCTGTCGCAGGTACGTGCGCTGCTTTTACTTCGCCTTCAAGACGGCCACGTCGATCGGGAAGAACGCGAAGCCTAGCAACGAGCTTGAGTACGCGTACATGACGCTCTCGTGGTTGCTGGGCGTCTTCCTGTTCGCCTTCCTGATCGGCCAGGTACGCGACATTGTGGCTACAGCCACGCAGGGCCGCACCCAGTGTCGACAGGCGGTCGACGCCTGCGTGCGCCACCTTCGCCGCCTTGGCCTGCCCGACGACCTACAGAGACGTGTTCGCCTTTGGCTAAACCACACCTGGGCACAGAAGAAGACCCTAGGTGAGAAAGAGTCGCCTATCTGAGAAATATAGGCTACCCACCTTTTTGCGAGGAGGAAAAAATCTCACCATATCCGCGGAGTGAATGATGATCGGTGAGACGAAGCGTTCGTCAGTCCGTCCGTGCTTCCGTCCGTCCATTCGTTCTTGCTTTCGTCCATCCATGCGTCCGTCCTTGTGTCCGTCCATCCGTGTGACCATCGGTGCGTCCATCTGTCCGTCCATCTGCTCTTCCGTCTATCCGTTCGTTCGTCTGTCTGTCCATCCACCCGTCCGTACGTCTGTATGTGCGGCTGTATGTGCGTACGGCTGTATGTGCGGCTCTGTCTGTCTGTCTGTCTGTCTGTCTGTCTGTCTGTCTGTCTGTCTGTCTGTCTGTCCGTCCGTCCATCCATCCGTCCATGCGTCCACCCCTCTGTCTGTCTGTTCGACCGTGCGTCCGTTGGTCCGTCCATCTAGTGAACACTCCAAGTACCGCCATCTCACATATTTTCATCGTGTATTCATCGTATACAAGTACCGCCATCCAGCGGACATTTTAAGTACCGCTCTCTCGGGTATGTGCCACCGGTGGTTAAAAACGATAACGGGAAGAATGGGTGACGCCATCAGGTGTTTCGCCCCTAAGCGTGCAGTGGGAGTACGGGAGTGGGTGTATGTAGAATATCATAGGTGAACTGGCGTACCGACACAGCAGTTGTACAGTTTGGCAGCAGTAGATGGAGGTGGGGGGAATATCGCGATGTGAGATTCTACTTTTACGGCCCAGAGTTTTTTTTTTGTTTTTTTGTAATGCAGCCTAGTGCGCGTGTTCTTCCGAACCGGAGAAATTATTTTGTTCACGTACCCGCCACAACGGTCTGGTAGGTATGGTTCTCGACTACTAATCCGGAGCTCATGGGATCGAATCCTGGCCGTGGCGGCCGCATTTCCGATTAGTTCCAGAGCCCTCCACTACGGCGTCTCTCATAATAATATCTTGGTTTTAACACGACAGCAATAAAGAGCTCGTTTCGCAGAAATTCCGGTGTCGGCATCGCCGTTGGCGCAGTCGTTGTCTTGCCATAGGCAGAAGGCGCGCCTTCCGCAACTCAAGCGGCTGCGGCCGCACAGATGTTCCAGATGTTCGCCGGTGTTGTAGAGCGTCCGGTCGTTGTAATGGATACATCGTGCCTTTCTTAAATTTACATATAGGCCAAGCGAAAAGGTTTTCTGGGGTAATGTTTCAGTTGTGAGTATCATATTTCGAGCTTGATGAAAACTGTATGCCGGAACACATGCATATGTCGATAGCTCTCAAGCTGTATTCACATATCTCACGGTCATTCTTTTTTTTTTCTAACGGGTTTCTTAAGGACCAAAATGTTCGAAGCACTTCGTGGTGTGCTGTTGAACATTTGTTTAATTATATAATGGGATGACGGGTACCAAAAATACAGTGATCACATATGTTAGACACACTTGTCGAATGGTTACAACTGGACTGGACTGGAACCCTTAAGTTTACCGACTGGGCTAGATACGTTTTTAAAACACCTGCAATGTCCATTGTACACATCCTTGTGCTTGTTGATACCACTGCTAAGCGAGTAGGAAAATAACACACCGGTGACTATTCGCTGAAATTAAATAGGCGTCTCCGTCATTTCGTTTTTGATTACTGGCAGTGGCGTAGCCAGAATAGCTCACAGTGCACGACACGGAAGAAGTGAGTGGACTGCAAGCTATTGTGCATTTTCACCAACTAGTCCGGTGAGAAACTTTGCGTAGCCAAAAATTTCTTTTTTTTTTTGGGGGGGGGGGGGATTTTATTTTCGGGAGGGGCACCTCCTTTAAATCACCATTTTTCGCTCTCTATGCTACGGCGAAGAAAAAAATTCGGGAAAACAGAGGGATGGGGGAGAGGTGGGGGACGGGCCCCATGTGCCAATCCCTGGCCCCTGCTTCTTAGTTGCGTTAATTAGAAACTTAACTCGCTACCACGAGGGTAGTTAACATTATTTGGGCAACACATGGAGACCTGTCTTTTTCTTACAATTGTGCCTTTTATTTTGTTATGTGAAGTGCAGCGAGCAAAAAAATTGCCCGCAGCTTCCCTCGGGGGAACACTGAGGAGGATGCGGAGCATATAACGGGGTGTTAAAGTGCGACTTACTTGGGTCGATGGCTAAATTGGTTAACGTGGTTGTGAAATGGGGTGTTAAATTGCGACTTACTTGGGTCGATGGCTAAATTGGTTAACGTGGTTGTAGGAGGGGGTGTTAAATGAGTGAACACGTACACACGTATGCGAAAGGGCGGCGCTGGTCGAAGGGACGTCGATCATTGTGTTTGTGGATTCGTTGGAATTCATTTCACCGCGACCTTGGACGTCGACGCGCCGTACAAACCAACCGACGAGCGGCAACTGAGCGAGCGAGCGCCGACCTTGAGTATATATACAGCGCGACGGCGCATGCACTGTCAGCTGTCGAATGTTCGAGAAGGGGGAGAAGCGCAACGGCGCATGCGCGCGCGTCAGCTGCCGATGTTCTCGAAGCGCGACGGCGCATGCGCGCGCGTCAGCTGCCGATGTTCTCGAAGCGTGACGGCGCATGCGCGCTACATTATACAGCTAGCGAATGTTCGTGAAGAGGAGAAGCGCACGCGGTGTGTAGAGGAGGAAGGGTGCACAGATGGTGGAGGAGTGAAGCGCGCGTGGTGTGTAGAGGAGGAAGGGATGCACAGATGGTGGAAGAAGGCGGAGGAAGCTTGCGGACGGCGCCGCACTACAAGCCTCGAGTATTAGATGCTCCGCATCTAAAACCAGTGTTCGAACTATGCAATGTTTGTCGTGCAACAATCTGCAAAGAGGGGGATCATAACCGCGGGCTATCCGAGCCGTTCTTTGTATTCAACTTAAAGATGGGATAGTTGCATCGCCTACATGGCAGCTCTCACAAAAAAAAATAATGGTTCGTGTTTCCAAAGGGGAGCTAAAACAGCTACGGAAGAAGATTCTACCCCAGATAAATTGTAGTGCACTAAAAGAGTAAGGCTTTATCCTCAAGCTAAAATAAAAGAGATTAAGAATCAACAGCCTATTTTCTGAGAGTGTGTTTGGGGGGGAGGGGGGAAAGGCTCACTGCAGCTTTTTCTCATACATACATCTTTTTTTTTTCGATGAGCATAACCTTTTGCTCATGTGAAGCATGGGACACCTACTTTTTGTATTCTACGCAAAAAAGTGGCCGAAATCTACTTATGCATAAGATTCCGTCACACGAAGAAGAAAATAAATGAGAAAATAAATGCCGAGAATATGAGCTCAGCTCTCACGAGTAGGCTTCTGTTTAAAAACCAGCGTTACATACCCTTCGTCGGTGTGCATGCTTGCAAGGAAAACGCTTAGAGAAACAGAATAAGGTCGACTGTATTCTTGTTTCCATTTGACTTCTTAATCTTAAAAGTTTACCAGTTAATACCCTCCATAAACGTTAAAAACCACGGTGGAAAGAAGCGGTGAGCGCGCTTTAGCTACCGTAACTTACCTATGGCAAGATGGCCGCCACGGCTTCACTGCGCACTATTGGTATGTATAGGCGGCCTCCACTCCAGCAAGATATATTTAAACCTCCTTGGCGGCAACGCCACTTGTTCCGCGTGCCGCCTATAGACAGAAAAAAATTAGGGGCCTTTTTACTTTTTTCAAGAACCACGCATTCATTGTTTGGCGCGGCGTTGTTGCAAGCGTTTGACATCGCGAGCTAACTCGGCGGCGTGGTTCGTCGAATCCATCAGCCACCACCGCTTGCATTCCCATTCACGATTTAGCGTAGCTTGGAAAGTTGCCGGATCATCGGTACGTATAGTTGCTGCCGGCACTCGGCCTCCTGGGCCTGTTTTTGTGCCAGGACTGCACCATCGGCACGGCAAATGCGGGCTCTAACTGTCAGCGCTCTCCTTGAGTTGTCCGTGGCATACCCATGTGGAAGGTTTCGGGAGAACCTGATGCGCGCGCGCTCGGCGCCATGACTGCGACAAGATAGACGACGTCACTCACAACGCAGCCAATGGCGCGCGTGTTTTGGTATGACGCTGAGAATGACGTAACTGATATGACAGCCAATGGACATTGCTCGTGACACCACTGCCGGGCAGTTTTTCGTTTCTCCTAGTCATATACAGCCTTCGCTGTAAGAATTATGGCTCTTAGTGAGGATCGAACGCGAGATGTGCGCGTGGCAAGCAAGTGTTCTACTAAATAGGCACGCGTACGCTTGGAAATATGGTGAAAATAACTTCCTCTGCTTGGAAGTGCAGGTAAAGTAAATTGAATGCTTTACAAAAACAGGCGTCCTGTATACACGCTTCACAATGCAACATGTAATATCGCAGTAATAATGCGTGGTCCAAGCGTACATTGTGATCGGGCGTCAAAACATGCGATTATCATGACATCATAGTTTAAAGCACACCACCCACTACAATAGTCACACACGTTACTGCACTTTTTCCCTTAGGGCCACGTATTGGGTGCATAGCAAGTTCGAAAAAAAAAAAATCACGCGCACAATTGTTCGTGGTTTAAAGCATGCTACATACTATACAGAATGCGGCCGTATGCGAAAGTTTCACTGACACAAACCATTTTTGAACTCAGTATGCACTACAGGGACAAGAGATTGATATCGCGTTCAACTCTTAAGGGCGCAGCTCAAGATTCCCCAATTTTGGGGGCTGCAGCAATCATTATATGGCGTGTTCACGTTTTTCTTTTTTTTAATGTGAGGCTTTCAGTACGCTATATGTAAAGCTCATCTCTGTATCTTGACTTGCATTGACAAACAGTGCTCACGGGCTCCACAATTGAAATTGTAATGAAGAAGTGCACCTTGCAGAACTTCGGAGCTTACAGGGCGCACTGAAATGTAACGCAAGCTTAATGTAATCTCGTCTTTCGTGCCGCAAATTTATCACGATATTGACGTAACTAGTTTGATTTGATAAATATGCAACAAAATAAAATCGGAAAGTGGTAATGTCAGTGTCAGATGCCATCTCCAAGCATATATTTTACGGTGCTTGATTGCGTAGAGCTCAACCTTGTAAGAAGGGAGCGTGTCATGCGTGATCCTGCACGCGCTGGTAGACCATCGCGAACGAACGACCTCCAAAAGACCAATATGCTTGGCGAATGAATTCGAGAGAAAAAAAAAACCTGCTAAGTAAAAGCGTAGCTCCATAAATTGTTTCACTTATATTGCTTTCACTTATATTGTTCCACATAAACTGTTTCACTTAGATGTTTCACTTATATTGCGTTGCGAATATATTGGTAATGTTTTTGCCTGAGCGCTTGCGTAATTTTAATAAAACCGTTTCAAAGACGCTTTGAGGGTGACATCTGACTTGGCCCACAAAAGACGGGTGTTAGAGGCACTGCTTCTTTCAGAGTGAAATTCTTCATGGCAAGTCTTACTTTTGACGCTGGTTTTGCGAATTTGGGTTCTCACTGAAGTTGTGAAACGCAGTCAATAAATTAAAAACATTTCACCCTGTTCTCTTTTGAGCGCAGACGAGAACTCCATCTTGGCCACGCTCCCTAGAAAAATGAAGACCGACATCGCCATAAGCGTCCACTACAACACACTGGCCAAGGTTCAGTTTTTCCAGGTTTGTGCGGCTGTTCCAGTGAAGAATTTCTGTTGCCCTTAGCCGAAAACTTCCTTATATGTTGTCTCTTTCTTTTTCTAACTTGCGCAGGATTGCGAGCGGTCAATGCTGCGAGATCTAGTGCTGAAATTGCAGTCAGTTCTCTTCCTTCCTGGTGATTACATCTGCCGAAAGGTGTGCCCTTGGACCCCCTCCGCCCCCTCGTGCTGATATGCTCTCGTCCTTTTTATTTATTTCTTTGCACAACTTTATTTCAACGACTACTTCTTTTTGATTATTCACAGGGAGAAATTGGTGTGGAAATGTACATCGTCAATAAAGGAGTCATTCACGTCATCGGAGGAGAAAACAACAATGTTGTGCTTGCAAAGCTCACTGAAGGCAGCGTGTTCGGAGAAGTGAGGTACGAGAATAGCAGAGCTCAATCGGCATGCTTCGGTATTGTGTCAGTGTGCGCTGCGCCACAAAAGAGTCGGGAAAACATCGCTATATCCCACAGTGCCTTCTTGCTTAAAGCCTAAAGTCAGTGCGAGAGACGCATCAAATAGGTGAAATTCTGTGGAATAGGCATCAATCTTTCTTTTTTTTGTAGTCCGGCTTCAATAATGCAAGAGTAATGTAACAGTCTATATTTTCACGCTATAGCCTACGGTCAGTTGCGGTCGCTGTTCTGGTGGTTGAATGGGCAGCCTATACCTTAGGAAAAACCAGACAGTTCTTTTACAATTTTAGCACAGAAGTACCATCACCAGTAATAGTACTACTGTGCCAAAAGAGTTTCAGTAAAACAGTCAACCTCGATATTTTAGCAGTAATATTTCCCTACGCAGCAAACCCGTCGTGTTCTAGTTTATGAAATAATTATGCGCAGTCGAACGTTACGCGCAAGTGAGTGCTCTTTCTGCGTGGTCTCGAGTGCCCTTGGCAGGAATTGTGCCTTCTTTCCCGTTCCCAGCCTTCTCGGGCTACCTGGTTTCAACAGACGCACAGCGGATGTGCTCTCGGTGGGCTTCTCGAACCTTTTCGTGCTCAGCAAAGATGACCTAAACGACGTGCTGCACTACTACCCGGACGTTGAGGCCATGCTTCGCCGCAAAGCTAAGTGAGTTTCAGGCAATCAGGGCGTTTCTTCACTTATATATATATATATATATATATATATATATATATATATATATATATATATATATATATATATATATATATATATATATATATATATATATATATATATATATATATGAAACAGAAGTATATACTTAATGCCTCGTTTTCCCGTGTTTTTGACACAATATTAGTAGTAGTAGTAGTAGTATTTTATTTACAGTAAGCCAGACACAGAGCTCACTGCAGGGGCAAAGGGCTAAAGGCGAACAGCCTGACAAAGGCCCTCGTCCCTCCGCAGTCCGTGACAGTGCAAGCTTAAACAATATATATATTCAATACATTGGTTTCAAGCAACCTGAAATTGTAAACACAAAATTCAAACATAAATAGCATAAGAAGTTTACATAACACATTTTAAGAATTAGAGGTCACTCTCGTCAAAATTCACAACTAAACAATATCAATGAAACAACTCAAAAACAGACATAAGATGCATGTGGATACAATGAATTCCGCGGTATACACTCGTATAATTGACATATATAAGTTTATGAACAATTTAAGCATTTGCAGAGTATTAATACTGAGATCTAACAAACAGTAATGCCAAAAATGTATAGGGGGAGTTATAAGACCGAATTGTAATGTAAATGTGAAGAAAGAAAAGTGGGTGAAAAGATAACTTGCCGTGAGCACGAACCGAACCTGCGACCTTCGAATGACGCGTTCGATGCTCTACCACTGAGCTACCACGGCAGCCATCCCCCATGCATCCACTTTATTTGGTTTGTATGTGACTTTAAACGTGCTAGTGTCAGTTCGCGCTATTTATATTACCATATATATATATATATATATATATATAATATATATATATATATATATATATATATATAATATATATATATATATATATATATATATATATATATATATATATATATTGTGATGTAACAGTAAAGGCAACCTTTATTAGGCCCGGAAGACACGATGAAGCGACCACGCCCAAGGCACAGAACTCAGACAAGCCAAGTCCCCACAGCAGAAGAAGATGACGACCACTCATGATGATGAATATGTGTAAAGATAGATGATGTGCTTAATGAATGCCTACACTAACTCCCCCCCCCCCCACGTGAAAGCGGTCATCCTGACCGCAGTTCTTGGCCGCATTTTAAAGCGAAGATGAACGCCGTATGAAAGGCTTCATGCGGGATACGTGGACTATTTCTGCTGCCCTGTAGCGGCGGTCCGTCGGAAGAAGAACGGGTGCCACGCGATAATTCACAGGAGACGTTTGCTCCAAGACAGTGTAGGGGCCAATAAAACGTAATTGAAACTTCTCGCACAGTCCGGGAGTGCGAATGGGTGTAAGAAGGAGGACTTCGTCGCCAGGGCTGAAAGACACGGCACGATGGGAGGCATCATATTCAAGCTTGCGATCCTGTTGCTTGGCTTCAGTGTTGACGCGAGCCAGCTGGCGGCAATGAAGTAGACGAGACACGTATTCTTCACTTGAAGATGAACATGGTTTGACAGGCGCAGAGAAGAACGAAACATCGAGGAAAGAAGAGGGGAAGCGACCGTGGACGAGGTAGAACGGCGAGTAACCGGTTGTGCGCTGTACAGAGGTATTATACGCAAAAGTGACAAATGGCAAAATGGTGTCCCAGTTTCTGTGGTCGGGTTCGATATACATCGCAATCATGTCTGACAGTGTACGATGGAAGCGCTCAGTCAGGCCGTTCGTCTGAGGATGGTAACTGGAGCTTGTTTTGTGTGTAGTGCCGGCTGCCTTGAGCACTTCTTCGACGAGTGCTGAAAGAAATACTCTTCCACGGTCGCTCAGGATTACACGAGGAGCTCCGTGTCGAAGGATTATTGCTCGAAGGATGAAGTCGGCCACTTCCGAAGCTGATGCAGAAGGCACGGGAGCTGTTTCGGCGTAGCGGGTCAGGTGGTCGACAGCTGTAACTATCCAACGATTGCCCGTGACAGTCATAGGAAGCGGACCATACAGGTCAATGCCAACTACCTCGAATGGTTGCAGGGGACACGGGAGCGGTTGTAATTGTCCACTTCGAGTTGATGTAGGTAGCTTGCGACGCTGACAAAGGGCGCATGAGGCAACGTACTTCGCGACACAGGTGGACAAGCCCGGCCAGTAGTAGTGACATCTTATGCGGTCATACGTTTTCTGGAAGCCCATGTGTCCAGCAGACATGTCGTCGTGATATGTCTTGAGGACTTGAGCCCGAAGAGAGCGAGGTAGAACGGGCACCCAGCGTTGACCATCAGGGTGGTAGATATGACGGTACAGGACGTGGTTGTTGAGCTTGAATTGCGTCAGCTGTCGGCGAAGACGGGCGTTAGGGGGCCGGCAAGTCCCGTCAAGACGGTCCATGATGCGGCGACAGTAAGGGTCAGCACGTTGGTGAGATAAGAACAAACCACACTCGCTTGGAGAAGTTGGGTCCAAAGTAGTTAATGACGAAACATGTAGGGAAGAGACGGCCGAAAGCTTCTCGTGTGCAGCAGTGGCGGGTTTGTTAAGCGGCTCCGAAGAGAGCGGGCAACGCGAAAGGGCGTCGGCGTCTTGATGCTTGTTTCCCGACTTGTATGTGATAGTGAAGTCGTATTCTTGTAAGCGAAGAATCCAGCGACCAAGGCGGCCGGACAAGTTCTTGATTGTCGAGAGCCAGCACAAGGCGTGATGGTCCGTAACCACAGTAAAGTGGCGGCCGTGGAGATAAGGTCGAAACTTTTGTATCGACCATACGACCGCTAGGCACTCCTGTTCGGTGATGGTATAATTCTTTTCAGCAGGGGTCAGTGCACGGCTCGCGTATGCGACGACTTTCTCACGTGAAGATTTGTCTCGCTGTAGAAGAATTCCACCAATGCCTCGACCACTAGCGTCTGTATGCAGGAGCGTAGGCGCGGTTTCGTCGAAATGGCAGAGGACTGGTTCGGATGTGAGTGCACACTTCAGTTGGGCAAACGCCGCTTCACATTCAGGAGACCACACAAAGGCGACGCCTGATCCGAGCAACTTGTGCAATGGTGAAGCTATTGAGGCGAAGTCTCGAATGAATCGGCGAAAATAAGAAGCGAGGCCGAGGAAACTGCGCAAATCTTTGGCTTTTTCAGGACGCGGGAAGTGTTGGACAGCGGAAATCTTGTCAGGATCGGGACGAATACCGTCCTTGCTTACGATGTGGCCTAACACTTTAATCGTCTTGCTCGCAAAACGGCACTTCTTGGTGTTCAGCTGAAGGCCTGCGTTTGCAAGGCACGTAAGAACTTCGTCCAGTCGTTGCAAGTGCTGAGGGAAGGTTGACGAGAAAATAACGATATCGTCTAAATAGCACAAGCAAGTCTTCCACTTCAAGCCTCGTAAAACTGTGTCGATCATCCGCTCGAATGTTGCTGGAGCATTGCAAAGGCCGAATGGCATGACGTTGAATTCATACAGCCCATCTGGTGTTGAAAACGCTGTCTTTTCTTTGTCATCCTCGTGCATGGGTATTTGCCAGTAACCTGAACGCAGGTCTAGGCTTGAAAAGTACTCAGCACCTTGCAGTGAATCCAAAGCATCGTCTATGCGCGGCATGGGGTAAACATCCTTGTGGGTAATCTTATTAAGTGCTCTGTAGTCCACGCAAAACCGCACGGAGCCATCTTTTTTCCTTACTAAAACAACAGGGGATGACCAAGGACTCGCGGAGGGACGTATAATGTTCCGTTGCAGCATATCGGCTACATTTTGTTCAATGATTTCACGCTCGGATGAAGAGACGCGATATGGTCGACGGCGTACGATGGAAGTGCCATCGGTCTGGATACGATGCCTAATAATGGACGTCTGTCCCAGAGATGAGGAATGGGCATCAAACAATCTCCTATGCTTTTGTAGCAAGGCAAGCAACTCATCTGTCTGTGAAGAGGTCAGTTCTGGACTAATAGTCGCAGCAAGAACAGAAACGCTTGATGAACGTCCAATAGAAGGAAGGTCAGAACACGCTGGCATAAGAGAGACAACAGAGACAGGTTGAGATTCAGAAACGCAAGCCATTGTGGTGCCTTTAGGAATGAGAATTTTCTCAGAAGTCTGGTTTGTAGCGTAGAGAAGTCCGGAGCCATTGTGGAATCGCGCTAGACCTGAAGCAAAGGCTATACCTCTTGCGAGACAGCGTGCAGATGGTTGGACAAACACGTCACCAGAGTCGATCACATTAGAAGTGATGGCAACTATCCGCTGATGACCAGGTGGTAGCTCGGTCTCTTCAGCAGCGAGCAAGCGAACGGGCTTGTCATCCGCATACAGGGCATAGTCAGTTTCCATCATATGAACAACATTTTCTTTACAGCAGATGGAAGCGTTCGCCGTAGACAGAAAATCCCAGCCTAATATAATCTGGTGGGCACACGAATTCAGCACAGCAAATTGTACAAAATGAAGAATACCAGCGATGAAAACACGAGCGGTGCACATAGCGGCAGGTCTAATGGCGTCCCCTTGAGCAGCGTGCAGTGTAGGTCCATCATAAGGGGTGGTGACTTTTCGTAGACGTGAGCACAAAGAACGATCAATCACAGACAAAGAGGCACCAGTGTCTATTAAAGCGTCCACGTACACACCTTCTATTAAAACAGCTATCGTATTATATGGACGCACTGGAGGAATTTCTGTCTTTTCGTTCGATGCAGCTTTTCCTCCAAAAGCTGCAGAGGTTAGTTTTCCGGGCGTTGGTTGGTGAATTGCGAGACAGGTCGCAATGGAGACGTGGAACGGCGGAGGGGTGAGGGTGAGCGGCGTCTAGTAGAGCGGTAGGAACTGGTTGGCTCAGATGTCGCAGTTGGAGACGGTGAGCGGCGTAGCGGCGGATCATAAGGACGACGTTGGAAAGCGTACCAGCTTGTCCCATCATCCCGTCCGTAGGTGTCGAGTCCACGACGCTCGTCCTGCTGACGCTTCCGACAGACGCGTGCAATGTGGCCCCGATAGCCGCAGTAATAACAGATCGGACGATGCGGCCGACACGGTGGGTGAAAGGGCTGGCTAGTCACACTCGGAGTTAACGAAGCCAGCGGGACAGGCGTCGAGTGTGCGGGCATCGGTTGTACCACGGGTGGTGAGCCAGCGAGGACTTGTGCGTACGTCGGTTGGAGTCGAGGTACTGGAGTGTCTACAAACGCTGGCCTGGTCATGGACGCCAACTCCTCTTTGATAACATCCCGCAAAACATTGTTGGAGGGGGGAGGTGGACTCGGTGTCATTGAGAGGCCGAAAGATTGTAGCTCTTCCCGTATAAGCGCCCGGATCATGGCACGCAATGAGGCATCAGTCGTGGTAGTGGTTTCAGAGCTGTCCGGCGGTAACCGTTGGGATTCAAGTTCTTCCAGGCGTTGGCACGTGGCAACAACGTCAGCGACCGTAGTCGGGTTCTGAATGACCAAGGCATTGAACGCGACCGTGCCTATCCCTTTTAGTAGATGACGAACTCTCTCTGATTCAGACATGGACGTGCTGAAACGGTGACAGAGAGCAAGCACATCCTCTATGTACGATGTGTAGGACTCACCGCATTGTTGCTTGCGAGAATCCAGTGTCTTCTTCGCGAGAGCTGAACGAACCGCCGGGGTGCCGAAAATTTGGCGAAGCTGTTGCTTGAAACGCGTCCAGTCCGTAATGTCCGTTTCATGATTGAAAAACCATGTTTTCGCTACGCCCGTGAGGTAGAAAGAAACACGGCGAAGCTTGGTAGGATCATCCCAGTTGTTAGTGGAACTCGCTCGATTGAACTGGTCCAACCAATCTTCCACATCTTCACCTCGAAGTCCGGCGAACGTGGGCGGCTCACGCTGGTGCGCGGTGATAATCCACGATGGATAGGCCGTGGTAGCCGGGGCCGTGGAGGTAGACGCAGAAGCGCCGGTTGGCTCGTCCTGAGGCATGTTACCGGACACCTGGTACAAACGACGACCTGAGCGCAGCTCCAGGAGGCAGATCGGGCTGGGAGAGGACGGAAGATCGTAGAGCACACTCCACCACTTGTGATGTAACAGTAAAGGCAACCTTTATTAGGCCCGGAAGACACGATGAAGCGACCACGCCCAAGGCACAGAACTCAGACAAGCCAAGTCCCCACAGCAGAAGAAGATGACGACCACTCATGATGATGAATATGTGTAAAGATAGATGATGTGCTTAATGAATGCCTACAATATATATATATATATATATATATATATATATATATATATATATATATATATATATATATATATATATATATATATATATATATATATATATATATATATATATATATATATATATATATATATATTTGCTGCCGCTAATTTAAGAGGTGTTTAGAGGCGTTTTTCTACAGCTGCTGTTAAACGTAATATGTGTCTATTTATAGCTCAAAAAGTTTGCATGTATGTGCAGATAGCCCGATAGCAATTTAGACAAAAACGCAGCACGTGCAAGTGCGCATTATACAATACTGAATGTGTGACACACCTACACCCGCTGCGAACACGAACACACGCACTAAAAAAGAGGCGAGGAAGTTTGAGAGTGGTACACAAAAGTACTACTTTGGCTGCTGCGCTGAAAAAAAAAAAGGTGTGGGGGGGGGGGTTCATTCTTTGTTTTTCTAATTTTTTATAACACGTGTCAATCATTGATGATGGATAAGCCCTCGCCGCTAAGCCCTTTGATTGATTGATAGATTTATATGTGGGGTTTAACGTCCCCAAACCACCATATGATTATGAAAGGCGCCGTATATAGTGGAGGGCTCCGGAAATTTTTGACCACCTGGGGTTCTTTAACGTGCGCCAAAATCTGAGCACACGGGCCTACAGCATTTTCGCCTCCATCGGAAATGCAGCCGCCGCAGCCGGGATTCGATCCCGCGATCTGCGGGTCAGCAGCCGAGTAGCCACTAGACCACCGCGGCGGAGCGCTAAGACTTTTTACAAGAAACAAAGTGTGCGAAATTGGCTCAGCAAATTTGTCAAAACTGCATGGTTCTAACATTTCTACAAGAGGTCTTATACGCTTTGGTTGCAGAAAACGAACGCGAACACCTTCGCTGTCTGCTATTTATCTACTCGCAGAAGCCAGATGATGAAGAACAAGGCATCCAACGAGAAGACGCTGGAGAACAAAGCCCGGCGAATTCATGTCGAACCAATCATCAAGACTCCTCCTGCCCGACCCAAGACACCCAAGTTGGTGCAGACGGTGTTGCAGGTGGGTTGCCGTGTATCAAGCGTAGCCATCGTCGCTTTATGCCCTAAGGTTTTTCATGCTCAACGTACTATCAGCGTCAAATGAAATCCGGACAGCGGCAAGTTTTTGCGATAGTGTAGTGCGTGCCGTCCAGTTATCACAATTGACAGGCGCGCGCATCCTGTTCGGCAGCTTTCCGCATATATATATGCGTGCCTGTGCGTAGTGATAGTGGACGGCGCGCACTATAGCATCGCGAAGGCTTGCCGCTGCTCGGGTTTCATTTGACGTTGATAGTACATTCAAGCCATCGTATGAAAAAAAAGAAAAAAGAACGGGTGATCCACGCTAATTTAGTATTGTGCAACCTTCGCAATCGTAACTTAATCTTCGCTGACCTTGGCTACCCACTGAATTTATTCTACGTAAATTCTCTAAAAGAGCATTTTTCTTTGCATCGTGTCGTGTGCTGTCCGTGAAGATATGCGCAAAATAAACTTAAGAGCAAAGTAACGTAAAATTAAACTTAATTAAAGGGAATCCAATGTTAAGATTAGAAGAGACACCCGCAGGTCGCGGGATCCAATCCCGGCTGCGGCGGCTGCATTTCCGATGTAGGCGAAAATGCTGTAGGCCCGTGTGCTCAGATTTGGATGCACGTTGAGGAACCTTAGGTGATCGAAATTTCCGGAGCCCTCTACTAAGCCGTCTCTTACAATGGTTTTGGACGTTCAAACCCACGTATCAATCAATCAAGATTAGAGGAGACAAATGAGAGCGCAGTGTGCAATCCTGTTTCAACGGGGAAGTGTAAAGTATCAAAAGCTGCAGCTGCTCGTCGTTTTCATATATGTGGGCCTGCCATTGTCAAAAGGCGCATCGTTATCTCAGGCGACACCACTTGACGTCAGTACTTTAGAGCTGACTCACCAAAGATGATGAGACACCTTGCAAAAATAAATAACATGTTGGGTTCGACGTCCTAAAAGCACGACATGATTATCAGAGACGCAGCAGTGGAGGGCTCTGGAAATTTCTACCATCCAGTGCTCTTCAACATGGACTGACATCGCACAGTTCATGGTCCTTGACCATTTTGCTTCGATCGAAATGCGACCACTGCGGCAGGTATCGAACCCGTGACCATCAGCTCAGCAGCCGAGCACCTTAACCACCACGGCGGACATCAAAAATAAGCCCACCTATTGGATTATCTGCCAGCCAATCTGGGGCACTTTACCCCTATCTAAGCAATCTTGATTGATATGTGAGGTTTAACGTCCCAAAACCACCATATGACTATGAGAGACGCCGTAGTGGAGGGCTCCGGAAATTTCGACCACCTGGGGTTCTTTAACGCGCCCCCAAATCTGAGCACACGGGCCTACAACATTTCCGCCTCCATCGGAAATGCAGCCGCCGCAGCCGGGACTCGATCCCGCGACCTGCGGGTCAGCAGCCGAGTACCTCAGCCACTAGACCACCGCGGCGGGTATTTAAGCAACCTTTACTGCGCGTTTAATCAAAAGGATACTAAAGAAAAACATTTTTGAGTTGTATATTTATATTGCTCTTCTACTTAAGAAAAGTATAAACAAGAGAGAGGGGGGCTATCAAGCTACACGCCACGGTGGTCTAGTGGTATGGCTCTCTACTTCTGACTCGCAAGTCTCGGAATCAAATGCCGGCCGCATTTTGGATTCATCTTTGATGGAGGTAAAAATGGTCGAAACCCGTGTACTTAGAATAATGTGCGCGTAAAAAAACCCTAGGTCGTCGAAATTTGCGGAGACCTCTACTATACGGCGTCTCTCATAACCATATCGGGGGTTTGGAATGGTAAATCCCGTCAAATATTATATTACTATTATTAGGCAGCCAAAAAAGACGCAAGAATGAAACGCCCTGGACGACGCCACCTTGGCGTTCGAGCACCCGCTTACTCTGACGTCACAAATTTTGATGGTGTTTTCTGAGGCTTAATAGTTTTCTTGGTAAACATGCACTACAGTGTATTCTAAAGAAAACCATAGATATAAGTGAGCAAGATACTCTGACGTCATAAATTTTGATGGTGTTTTTTGAAGCTTAATATTTTTATTGGTAAGCATGGACTACAGTGTATTCTAAAGAAAACCATAGATATAAGTGATCAAGATTCGGGAAATATTAATGAACAAATGCAGCCTTAATGCCGTAAAATTTTCTATGAATTTCCTGACGCCACACTGACGTACCAGCGCTAGATTTTTGTCTTTAAACGTGTCAGTAAAACATTGGCTTTAATTTTGTCTTCTAATTATTAATTTATAACCAAGAAATGAAAAACAACAACTTTAGTAGACCAATCATTAAATCATTTCAATTGCCTGAGTATCCTATCTATAAATTGTGGTCTGAAATAAAAGCCAACTCGACATCATTTGTGCATTCAGCAACTGATAGTATCCACACTAGCAAAGAAACGCTAACAGAAAACTTGGCTATATAATTATGGGAATCACAAAGCGTTCATGGGACACATCTGACATTGTCCGACTACAGTAGCACTGCACCAGGTAGATTAATAAATAATAGACTGTTGTGCAAGCTAGTAATTCATGACTACGCAAAAGAGTGCGAAAATAACGCGATACGAGACGGAGAAGGCCGTAGGACAAGCGCAAAAGCCAGGGGCGGAGCCCATTGAGTCTGTATTATTTCGTATGAAAATGTTAGGCAAACATGCTTACGCTCAGATCATAGCGCAACGGTAATAGCGGTGCATTCAGGCTGCAGCATCGTGTGCGGGCGAGAAGGCGACATTACATCAACTTAAAGAAGAAGGAAAAAAGTACTGCTGCCCAACCACCTTATATCAGAGTAGCGCATTAAGTGTCTGTATTTGAGACCCTGTTCTGACTAATTTACTCTTTGTTGGTTGCTTACATATCCGGGTGCTTTTAGCGCTGACAAACACTACAGAGCTTGAGCTATCGCTACACCGTCAGAGAATCGACGGTACAAGCGACAGCGAAAAATGGAATCGTAAGCTAGAAGTCATACGATTCCTGAGTGAGAATGTTTTCACCAGGCAATTATACAGTTTATCCCAGGGCCATAAGACATGTCTGTCTGCAACAATGTCGAGTAATATCTAGAAAACCAATGAACCATGATTTTCAAATCTACATAACTTTTCTATAACATCCTGATGAAAGGATCAGGAGGAACAGGCATTAGAAAATTGTGCGGCTTCACTGAAAGAGCGACACATCGAAACTTGCCGCAACGTTTATCATTGCAAATAAGCTCATCGAACGGGCAATATCTTGGCGGAATACAACATCCCGTGTCACTACCGCTACGTATCTTGCCCCAGACGCTTAATATCTGGGCATCAGCGATTAGGCGTTTCGCAACGTGGGTGTGATTAGTAACACCAGCACTAGCCTTGCAGGCGTCACACCTCAATTATGAATGAGGATAGGAAATATTACCGAAGAAAAAAAAGTACTGCCGTTCCGCTCGTGTCTGCAGAACACACAGTTGCTCAGCAAAAACGCTAGTGTTTGTGCGTGCAGTGCACATGAAAGTATCGGAAGTGGAACCCTGGTTGTATTGCAGAGTTGAATGCGCATGACGGTAACCTTAGTTCACTTAATTTCTGCAGTTCCGTCTTCTGTAAAGAGTGCAGCGCTGCACAATTTATATCTTTATGTCGAATATAACTGTCTTGCAGAATCTTTCTTTAGGGTGGTGCATAGAAGTCTCAACACCGAGCTTCATTTTGCGTGGCACGTTGCGCAGGTGCTGCGGCCGGAGTCCAAAACCGGCTCGGCCCTAGCAAGACGCGTTTTCGGCGGCCGCGCGAGCCGGCGGCCTACAAGCGGCAGCGACTCGGACAGCAGCAGCCACTCGAGCGAGGCCATGGGGCGGCCTACGACACTGAGCTTCCGCGATGAAGACGGCGTGGAAACGCGAGTGGACACGTACCACGACGTCACGCAGAACGCTCTCACCCTGAGGGCCACTTCGGCGTCGGGACTGCGCGTACCGCGCTCGGTGCCACCGCGCTGCAAGAGCTCGCCCGCAGGTGAGTGCCCTCGGCAGCCTCGTCTTGCACTTCTCTTCAAGGTAGCCATCTCCTCGCGAAATCGCTGGGTGGCGTTGCTGTCTAATACTGAGCAAGCGCAGTGCCATTGCATGCCGAGCTTGTGCAGTCAAGGCAAGCGTTGCACTTACCGTTAAGTGGCCAACGGTTAGTGATTATCTGCGTAGGTATTTTAGTGGTTGTAATATTACACATGTTGTCCTCACTAGTTATTGCCAGTAAGTGCGCCCGTTTGTTGTGTGATTAGAACGAACTAATAAAGAAAGGCCAGAAATTCAAATGTTTAGAGCGGGCCTTGTAGCCTGCATGTAAGCGTGCTCGCTCTTCAAGCAGTGCGTGGAATCAAAATATAAATCTAGCGAAAGTAGTACGTCGGAACAAATACATTGCAGCTTCGAAAAAAGAACTTTGCACTTGAGGAGGAGGAGGAAGGCAAGAAATGAAAGGCAGGGAGGTCAACCAGACGCACGTCCGGTTTGCTACCCTGCACTGGCGGAAGGGGTGAGGGGATTAAAGGAGAAGAGAGAGAGAAGTGAAGGGCAACGTGTGTGTAGATGTGACCTTGTCCATTGCATGCTTATAAGCGGTCGCGTAGTCCGGTCGTCTTTAGAAAACTTAGCAATGCACGCGTCACTTTGCTGGCCAGCGACGCGTAGAGCCATGAGCCAAGTATCTTCTCTTCGGAAAAATGTCTACTGTATATAGTGTCTCTAACGTTTCACGTAGCAAGTTGCGTTCGCTCGCAAAACGTTCACATGAACACAGTAGATGTTCTATTGTAGTTTTTGATAAAGTAATGAGACAACAAAGCTTAATCTGTTTTCAACAAGAGAGAGGCCGTGCCACATTAGCTACGCGCATTGCGTATATATGCACGATGTTACAAGTTATCGCAAAGATTGGGGACATCTGCAGCTCATTTATTTATTTATTTATTTATTTATTTATTTATTTATTTATTTATTTATTTATCTATGAACTGTTTTTTTATTTTTACTGCGCTCTTTGATCTCCTGGTCGTTTTGAGATAGCAGCAGTTCTATCTCGACCAATTTCTTGTCCATTGTGAATGCGCATGTAATTTCCTTGTTACTACCGCCGCGAGTTTTGGCGCCGCACATTTCCCAGATACGCGCGAACTTTCGCAGACACACCGTAATTCATGCTCTCTCGTGGCTTGTTTGTGCAGTCATGCGGCATCCAGAAGAACGGCGGCCCGAACGCCCTACACCACTGACGCGGCGGCCACGGCCCTCGCCGCTAGTGCTGCTGAGTCGGTGCCTGGGCACTGACAGTCCGCAGTCCGTACGCCGCCACTGGCGACCTCTAACGGCGCGAAGTCGAGTGACACCGCTGACACCGCCGGTGCCGCACGATCTTGCCGCCGCCGCTGAAGGATCCGCAACCGCCGGCAACGACGAGGCCGCGGCTCCGCAGCGCCACAGCGGTGACTCGGCGCCATCATCAAGGGCAAGCCTCCGGTCCGCGTCGCTCTCGGCAAATGAGCTCTCCGACAGAGACGAATTTCAGCTCGTATCACCCGGCTTCCCGTCCAGCTCGTCACCCAGCTGGACGTTCGAAGAACCGCCTTGCTAGAGGGGCGCACGCGACAACTTCGGTACTTTATCGTGCGTTACTCGAGCGACCCGTGGATCAGAAGGTTCGCTCAGTAAGTGAGCCGCAGTGTGGCGTCGAGAACTTCGTCGATGCCGAGGGCTATCTTTTAAAAAATAACACGGAGGCGCAGTGGTCAAACTATATCATCTGCCAGACAGAGGCATTCCCGTCTAGCAGATGATTTTTGGGGGGGGGGGGGGGGGGGCAGCGGGTACATCACGTCGGATGCTCCGTCTTGTTTTCACCCACACTATGCGTGGTAGATACACTGTGACTCGCAGCTGACTACAGGCTTAGCGACGAGCCAATGGTGACGCGACTTCTCGAGCCGTCACGCCGACTTTCGTCCTCGTAAAGTGGGTACTTATGTATCGCAAAGCTATTTTAAGAGCACATCAAGATGAACGTTCATTATTGCCAGGCATACATTAGAGAAGGAAGCCACGCAAGCAATGGCAGAGTATTTGACCGATGTACCTGAGCGTTGAAGCAGACACTTGCGACAAGACGTACTTCCACACGAGGTAACTGAATGAGAGGGATAATTAATTAGCCAGTTAACCAATTAGTAGCCATGTATAATATTCCAACTTGAACACCGTGTGGGGCCATCATACTCGTGCGGCGGGGTCTTCACGAGCACGTCAAATTCATGTTTCTACACTGTACAGTTCATTCATCGAGGCGCCACAGCAGCTTTAGCTGCGTTTCGATGCAAAAGCCAAATAATTATTTTAGGGCCGCTTCCCGTAATAGTCACATAGTACTTGCAGTGCAAGGTCAGCGCCTTTTCCCTCGTATGTAGCGTAAATAGTAAAACAAGCACTTTAACGAATCACGTCGACACAATTCCCACTTTCGCAGTTGCTTACACTGATTTAGTGCTTGCACCGAAAATTCAGCAGCTTCACTCAACCTTGTTACTAATCAGTGCGGGTGCACCACTTGAGAAAAAAATTCTATACGTAACTTGCGTGTTAATAGTACGTCACTGCGGCTTGCATCACTGTTTTCAATATATTTCCGTGTCCGAAGGCACGCAGCTGAACAGTACTTACCATATAGTTTTATAGTATATGTACTGTTTATAGGTTCTTACCATGTGCCAAAACACCTTGCATAAGTTCTTACAACTTTGGGGAATACACTGCACGAAAATACGCCAGTTATATGTCCAGGCAGATTTGTGTGTGGGCGAGGCAATTACTATATAGAAAGTCGAGTCCGACGGTGTAAAGGCTGGTATACTAGTTTCGATCTGCTGGCAATACAGAAGGTAACACAATAAATTCATTGTTCCAAATGAAGTGACCGGTTCTATAAATATGAAACAACATTCCGTGAATTGCCGAAGGAAGTTTTCACCCTATTGTAGCAGAATTGTATTAACCTCAGTGTTTGTAAGCGGTGTTGGCCAGCATACGCTTGGAAACACCGCCACACACAGAGGCGAGGCTATCTGTTTACTTACCAAAATGCGCAAACATAATCAAGCTGTAAAAGTCGGATATTCATTTCCAATACTTACACATACTAGAAATACAAAGACTTTTGAAAAGTCACATTATTCTAAAAAACGAACAAATTCGCGATGAAACTGCCCCAAGCTAATTTAAAAACGAAGCTTCAAATAATAAAAGTCAAACAACAGTTGAAGTCAAAGTACAAACGCTATCACGCAACAATATAGCAGATGCGCAAAATTTCTGGACAATAGAAGTGTCAACGGAGGTATTCTTTTCATTTTTATGCTGTCTGACATGACGTGCCACACACACACAAAAAAAATATGCGTATACCCTAACGTTGCTAGGCTGCCTGAATTCGTGTAGCTTAAAGGTATCCAAGACGGGACAGCGTGAAAGACACATGAACACAAGTACACATCACTGTCTGTGTTTTACGCAGTTGTGTGTCATCTCCTTCATCCCGTCTTCGGTGCGCTATAGCTTTAGATGCTATGATCGCCGACAAGTGCGAGGTTTACTCTTAATTAAAAGAAACATACAATTCGTTTCATGCAAGACTACACTCATATAACTTTATCCTTTTCCACGATAAGGTATTGGCTGGGTGAAAACAAGAAACCTTCATTATATTTGTGTTACCTGCTGTGAATATTAAGGGCTGTTAGAAAAAAATGCATTTGGGTATGTCCCGTTCGGCACCTGTGGTGTCTTCCCTTCTCTCTTGTATCCGTAATTGTACGCCCAGTCTTTTAGCATGAACAAGCTTCCACCGTGCAGAGCCGCTTTGACAGCTATCGTATGCGTAAACGAAGAACCGTGCATGCACTCTTCACAGAAGTGGAGCTTGTGCCGCGAGCCACATGATGTCTCTTGTTGAAGCAAGACCCTCAGCGCGGTCAGCAAATTTGTTCGACAGACGTCTCGCTTGGGTGGGCCTCAAAAGTCGCACGAAAAAGAAACTGAAATCGAAGGGACGCTTTTAGCTAGCATAGCACCCCAGCGATGACAGATTACTTACAGGCAGGTCAAAGAAAGCGCAGGACTTAAGTGAGTAGCTTCTACAAATCGGCTGAGTCGACAGGTAATCATTATCTTCGGCGATATGTGATTTCCACACTAGCATTTCAGTTGATATTACTACATATCTCGCAAAATACAAGAGTGCTACGTCTCACATTATCAGTCCATTTGCTTTTTTTATCTTGTTGCTGTTAAACGTCTTGCTTGCGCGGAAAAATGTCCGAAAAGTTTAATAATGAAAAGCTCTTTAAAACACGTACTATTTAGTTCAACTTCCTGATTGATTTGTGGGGTTAACGTCCCAAAACCACCATATGATTATGAGAGACGCCGTAGTGGAGGGCTCCGGAAATTTTGACCACCTGGGGTTCTTTAACGTGCACCCAAATCTGAGTACACGGGCCTACAACATTTCCGCCTCCATCGGAAATGCAGCCGCCGCAGCCGGGAATCGAACCCGCGACCTGAGGGTCAGCAACCGAGTACCTTAGCCACTAGACCACCGCGGCGGGGCAGTTCAACTTCCTTCACCGTTTCTTCGTGAAAATAAAAACATGCAACTTATAGTCTTTTTCCGTAACGTACCCCTTACACGGCCATACGAATGTGTGCAGCTTTAGAACTGCGCACCCACCGCCCTGCGTCGGCCACGTGATATCAAGGACCGCCATCGGAATACACGAACGCACTCCACACATTCGCATGTGCTGCTCGACGCCGATTATCGCGCACTCGGTGACCACATATTTGACTGCAACATAAACGCATCATGAAATTTGTATGCCTTCAAGAGCTGTGTACCGCTGTTTGCTTCACAGTACGCCGAACAGTGCTAGTCTCCTCTGTGAAAAAACTGCTTACTAGTGTGCGTTAAGCGGGCCCGATAGCTGTCATGTTGTGCTGAGCATGGCAGCTGGCCACGAATGATGTACAGCGTAAACTGAAGAGGAAGCCAATGATTCGAAAACGAAGGCAATGAAGAACAGCCAGGCAGGATTCCTTCAACGTCTTTGTTATCTTATCGCTGGTTTCCTCTTTCGCCTACAATTAACCTACTCGCCCAGCAAGCAACGTTACTGATGTATAGCGTGATACAGAGCTACCTCCTGATCTTTATACCCTTGTCATTCACTGATGAGTAGCCGCATCATCCATCCACCTTCACCTAGCAGTCATTCTTAACAGAGTTTATAAGCGCTGTTCATCACCATTCTTTATGATCTCTTCTAATAAATTTTCTACGATTTGCACTGTTGGTGTCTTTCTATTTTCTTGATATTGATATGTGCGGTTTTAACGTCCCAAAACCACTATATGACTATGAGAGACGCTGTAGTGGAGGGCTCCGGATATTTCCACCACCTGGGGTTCTTTAACGTGCACCCAAATCTGAGCACACTGGGCTACAACATTTCCGCCTCCATCGGAAATGCAGCCCGGATTTGATCCCGCGACCTAAGTGTGAGCAGCCGAGTACCTTAGCCACTAGACCACCGTGGCGAAGCTTTCTATTTTCTTGTTACCCTATTTCGCACAACGCACTCGTGGACATTTCGATGCTGTGCGTTCGACATACAATTACCAAGACTTATTCGTACACATTTATAGATATTTCTGTTAAACGCCGCGAAGGAATTTACTACTGTGATCTGACGCCAAGTTTTTTTTTTTTTTTGAAAGAAATCTACTTTCTTGGTGCGCAGGGAACGTTTCAGAAGGAAGAAAGAGCAGAGAGATAGGACAAAGCGCACACTTACAACCAATTTTATTGCACAGATGGCGGGAATATATATATACAGCCAAGAGGTCGAAGAGATCACACACAAAAGAAAGGACAAACGATGGCGCATGCTCCAGACCACCTTATTCTAATCTTGAAATGACAACTTAACTGAAAAGATACTTGTATTCATTATCCAACAGATTGATGGACGGCGCACTTACACACTCAGCTCCTGCTTTGCGGATAAAAAAAAAAGCTTCATATATTTCACGTGTCCTCTCGCCTGTAAATCTTGCAATTACTTGGCATTCATTAAACTTCAGGGTGCACCCACAATCCGCACAGTGTCTTGCCAAGTGGCTGCCCACTGATTCGTGCATTAGATTTGCTTGCTCCCTAAGGCGATTGTTCAGATAGCGCCCCCGTCTGACCGATGTAGTATTGACCACATAGCAAATAAATCAGATACACAAGGCCTATAATACATTCTACAAACATCTTTGCGTGCTTCGTATTGCACCCGACACTTAAAGATCCTTCGTAGTTAACTCTTTTACAAGAAAAGGAGCTCAGCTTGTTTTTTGCCATGAAGACAACCTTAACCCCAGTTTTTCAATGATTCTTTTTAACCAGTGTGAAACTTTGTGCACATAAGGAATGACAGACACTTTCGACTTTGGCTCGTCCTGAGATAAGTGCCGTACATTCTTGCCCTGCTTCAATGCATTCAGAAGTGATTCTGCTATGCACGAGAGCAGGTGATCGGG